GTCACCGTCGCCGTCACCGTCACCCGCGGGGTCGCCTACCTGGTGCAGCGCCGTGAGGCCGTCGTCGTTGGCCAGGTCGGGGTCGACGCCGCTCTGCAGGAAGTGGCGGACTGCGGGAAGGGCGAGGAGGGTCGGCAACAGCCGCGGCGGCAACAGCCGCGGCGGCAACAACCATAAAGAATCAGGGCGGAAAAAACCACAGAGGCAACAACCACGGTGGCAACAACAGCAGCAGCAACAATCATAAAGAACCGTGGCAACACCCGCAGCAGCAACAACCATAAAGAACCGTGGCAGCAAGAACCACGGCGGCAACAACCGCAGCGGCAACAATCATAAAGAACCGCGGCAGCAACAACCATAAAGAATTAGGGTGGTAACAACCATGGTGGCAACAACCGCAGCAGCAACAACCATAAAGAACCGCGGCAGCAAGAACCATAAAGAATCAGGGCGGAAAAAAACACAGCGGCAACACCCGCAGCGGCAACAACCGCAGCGGCAACAATCATAAAGAACCGCGGCAGCAACAACCATAAAGAATTAGGGTGGTAACAACCACAGTGGCAACAACCACAACGGCAACAACCATAAAGAACCGTGGCAGCAAGAACCACGGTGGCAACAACCGCGGCGGCAACAACTGTGGTGGCAACAATCATAAAGAACCACGGTGGCAACAACCGTAAAGAATTAGGGCGGCAAGAACTGCGGCAGCAAGAACCACGTCGGCAACACCCGCGGTGGCAACAACCACAGCGGCAACACCCATAAAGAACCAGGGCGGCAACAACCCTAAAGAACCAGGGCGGCAACACCCGCGGTGGCAACAACCACAGCGGCAACACCCATAAAGAACCAGGGCGGCAACAACCGCGGCAGCAACAACCACAACGGCAACAACCCCATCAGCAACAACCCCATCAGCCACAACCATAGAGAACTGTGCCGGCAACAACTGCGGCAGCAACAACCATGAAGAACCACGTTGGCAACGACTTCATCAGCAAGAACCATAAAGAACCAGGTCAGCAACAACCACACTGGCAACAACCGCATCAGCAAGAACCATAAAGAACCACGTCAGCAACAACCGCGGCGGCAACAGCCATAAAGAACCGTATTGGCAACAATCGGATCAGCAATAACCGGTAACCATAAACAACCGGATCAGCAATGACCGTAAAGAATGGGATTGGCAACAACCGGATTGGCAGTAACCGGAGAGCCGTAAAGAACCGGATCATCAACAGCCAGATCATCAATAACCAAATAACCATAAAGAACCGGATCATCAAGAACCGGATCATCAACAGCCGGAGAGCCACAAGGAACCGGGTCAACAATAACTGGATTAGCATTAACCGGATCAGCAACAAGCGGATAATGACAAAGAACCGGAGCAGCAATAATGGGATCATCAATAATGGGATCATCAATAACCTGATAACCACAAACAACCGGAGCAGCAACAGCCCGATAGCCGTGAAGAACTGGATCATGTAATAACCGGATAACCACGGATAACCAATCAGATCAATACGTGGATCATCAATAACTGAGTAACCATAAAGAAGCAGATCATCAATAACTGGATAACCACAAAGAACCGGATCATCAATAACTGGATCAATAACTGGATCATCAAGAACTGGATAACCATAAAGAACCGGATCATCAATAACTGGGTCATCAATAATCGAGTAACCACAAAGAACCGGATCATCAATAACTGGATCATCTAATAATCAGACAACCATAAAGAACCGGATTATCAATAACTGAGTCATCAATAACCGGATAACCACAAAGAAGCAGATCATCAATAACTGGGTTATCAATAATCGGATAACCACAAAGATCTGGATCACCAATAACTGGATCATCAATAACTGGATAACCACAAAGAACCAGATCAATAAGTGGATTGTCCATAACCGGATAACCATAAAGAACCGGATCATCAATAACTGGATCATCAATAACCGGATCATCAATAACCGGATAACCCCAAAGAACCGGATTATCAATAACCGGATCATCAATAACCGGATAACCACAAAGAACCGGATTATCAATAACTGGATCATCAATAACCGGATCATCAATAACTGGATAACCACAAAGAACCGGATCATCAATAACCAGATAACCCCAAAGAACTGGATCATCAATAACTGGGTCATCAATAACCGGATAACCAGAAATAACCAGATCATCTAAATAATTAAATCTGATAAGCTGATAATCATAAATAAATGGATCATCTAATAATCAGGTCATCGATTAATCAGAAAACCAGAACTATCCGGATCATCGATAATCAGATCATCTAAATAACCAGATAATCATTGATAACCAGATCATCTAAGAACCAGGTCATCTACTACCCTGTGGTTTGGAAAAAAGTTCTTTAAAGAGATTAAAATTTTGAAAAATCTGGAATTTTGAAAAATTTCAAATTTGAAAATTTTAAAATGCGGAAAATCTAAAATGCCAACATTCTAAATTGTACAATTCTACATTTTAAAAATCTAAAACATCAAAAATCAAAAACATCAAAAATCAAAAACATCAAAAATCAAAAACATCAAAAATCTAAATTTTGAAATTTCAAAAATCTAAAATTTTGAAATGGAGTGGAATTCGGGATATTCCTGAATATCACTTGGAATTCCAGGGCTATCCCTGGATTCTTCCGGGAATTCCAGGGATATCCCCAGATTTTTCTGGGAATTCCAAGGCTATCCCTGGATTCCTCTGGGAATTCCAGGACTATCCCTGGATTCTTCCGGGAATTCCAGGGATATTCCCAGATATAGGGAGCATCGCCCGCTCGCCTTGCAGTGCCTCCAAGGGCGCAAAGCCGCCTTCCAAAGGGTGCCGCTTTCCAGGGCAACCCTAAATCCCGGGATGCGCAATCCTGGGATGCACAATCCCCTCGGGAATATCGGGAATATCGGGATAATCCCACCTACCACCGCACCGCGCGCGCCGTACCTTCCTCGACGTCATTGCGGGCGGCTGCGTCCAGCAGCCGGACGCCGTCCGGGAACGTCACCCGCTTGTCGGCATTCCCGCTTTTCCGGCGTTTTTCCGGCCGCGCTTCCCGGGGCTCCTTTTCCAGCTGCGCCCAGCGCTTGAGCTGCTGGGCGCGGCGGCGCTGCGCCTGCCGGAGGCGCTCCGGAGCGCCGAGGCGGGAGAGCGCCGGCAGCTCCGCCAGCAGCTCCGCGTGCTCCGCCATGGAGCCGGAGCGGGCGGCGTTCCCGGCGGCCGGCGCGCGCGGACATCACCCGCCGCCCATGCTCCCGGGAAGGGAGGAAGCCAGGAAGCGGCTCCGGAGGTGTGTGGGGAAGGGCAGCCTGATCCCAGTGCTGGAGGAGCGGGAAGGGAGGTCAGGAAGCGGATCTGGAGGCGCCTGCGGAAGAGTATCCCGATCCCGGTGTCAGAGGAGCGGGAAGGGAGGCCGGGAAGAGGCTCTGGAGGCACCTATGGAAGAGCAGCCAATGTCGGAGGAGTGGGAAGGGAGACCGGGAAGTGGCTCCGGAGGTGTCTGCAGAAGAGTATATCCTGATCCCGGTGTCGGAGGAGCAGGGAGGGAGGCCGGGAAGCGGCTCCGGAGAGGCACAGGGAAGAGCAGCCAATTCCAGTGGAGTGGGAAGGGAGGCCGGGAAGCAGCTCCAGAGGTGCCTGCAGAAGAGTATCCTGATCCCGGTGTCGGAGGAGCGGGAAGGGAGGCCGGGAAGCGGCTCCGGAGAGGCACAGGGAAGAGCAGCCTGATCCTGGTGCTGGAGGAGCGGGAAGGGAGGCTGGGAAGCGGCTCCGGAGAGGCACAGGGAAGAGCAGCCAATTCCAGTGGAGTGGGAAGGGAGGCCGGGAAGCAGCTCCAGAGGTGCCTGCAGAAGAGTATCCTGATCCCGGTGTCAGAGGAGCGGGAAGGGAGGCCGGGAAGCGGCTCCGGGATGCACAGGGAAGAGCAGCCTGATCCCGATGCTGGAGGAGCGGGAAGGGAGGCCGGGAATCGGCTCCAGAGGCACCTGCAGAAGTGTATCCCGATCCTGGTTCCGGAGAAGCGGGAACGGACGCCAGGAAGCGGCTTTGGAGGAGCCCCGGGAAGTGCAGCAGGTGCTGAAGGAGCGGGAAGGAAAGCCGGAAAGCGGCTCCGGAGGCGCCTGCGGAAGAGTATCCCGATTCCAGTTTCAGAGGAGCAGGAAGGGAGGCCGGGAAGCGGCTCTGGAGACACACAGGGAAGAGCAGCCTGATCCCAATGCTGGAGGAGCGGGAAGGGAGGCCGGGAAGCGGCTCCGGAGACACACAGGGAAGAGCAGCCTGATCCCAATGCTGGAGGAGCGGGAAGGGAGGCCGGGAAGCGGCTCTGGAAGCACCTGTGGAAGAGCAGCCCGATCCCGGTGCTGGAGGAGTGGGAAGCAGCCGGACAGGTTGACACCTTCACCTCTTCCTGGGAAGCAGCCGGCGCCGTTCCTGCTTATCCCGGGAAGCCTCTTCCTTGCTGGGGCCTGGCGGCCGCCCCCATTCCAAGGGCTCTTCCCGGATCTGGCGGCCGCTCCGAAACTCCTAGGATCAAATATCAGGGAGCAGCGGGCGGAGGATCCGCGGGCACCTCCGGCTCATCCGATCGGACGCTCCAGCGGCTGCAGATCCCAGCGTCGGGAATGCGGAGCCCGATCCGGCTTCCCAGATTTCCAGCGGCTCCAGAGCTTCCCGCTGTGCCGGCACCTGCGGAAAAGGGGAAGGGAGAGCAAAGGAATCACCAGGGGGAAACGGCTCCATCCGGGATTATCCTATAAGGAAAGCGGAGGGAAGCTCCCCGGCAATTCCCTGTCTGCCAGAATATCCCTGTAAATGTCACCTACCCCCTGGCTCGGGCTTCCCGATCCGCCGGGACGGAAAGGGCGGGAGACGCCCCGGGAAACCTTTCCCGAGGAGGCGAAGGGCGCGGAGATAAGGGCGAGATAAGGGAATGGTGCCGGGAATGGTGCCGGGAATGGCGCCGCCAAGCCAGCCACAGATGCTCCCTGCACATCCCTCAATCCCACAGAATTCCCAGTTCCAGCAGCTCCCGAGGCTCCGCGGAGCCCAAACCACCAGGATTCGTTGGGATAATGTGACATGTGGTCCCTTTGGAAGGTCCCTCAATGCATCCGGCTCCTCACGGAGCAGGAATTCCAGGTGGGAATGTCGCCTCTTCCCAGCTCCAGAGTGGGAACAGATCGTGAGGATGGTTGGCCCCTGGAAAGTCGGGATGTGGGAGCGACAGATATTGGGATAGTGGGAAGCGGAGCCCGAGATCTATGCTGGAAAAGCCTCAGGAAACCCCCGGACACCCCAATTCCCAAAAACGCTCCCGCTGGAGGCTCCGGCTCCAGCGGGATACACGGAACAGCCGCGGGGCAAAGTCCCCAGGGGAAAAATCCAGCCATTAATCCCAGCATAAACCTCTCCGGAGCTCCGGGAATGCTGAGGCCGGGGGGTTAATTCGGGGCTAAATCCCTGGAAAATCCCCTGGGGAATTTGGGAGCGGGGAAGGGCCCATCCCGGCGCCGCATCCCATTTGCATCCGTCACCCGATCGCGTTTCCCATGGCCGGGATCGCGATGCCGACCGGCGGGATCTCGGGAACGGGGGCGCTCCGAGGGCGCCGGCACCGTGCGGATCCCGGAATATATAAAAACAAAGCCCCAAAATCCCAAATAAAGGCTCGAATTCCGGAATGAAGCCTCGAATCCGGGCGGGAAAGGCCGGAGTGGCCGGGGAGGCGGCGCTTCCCGGCGGGAATGTGGAGCCGCTCCCGGAGCCGCTCGTGTTTCCGCCTAGGGGGGTGGATTCCCGGGATCCGGCCGCGTTCCCGGATCCCGGAGCTGCTCCGGGGGGTCCCGGAGGGCGGCGAATCCCCCCCAATCCGAAGCCCCTCCGCTCCCATGACCCCCCCCACTCCGGATAATATTGGGGGGGGGCGGGAATCACCCCGTATCCCGGTGGGAATGACCCGCTGGGCGACCCCCCCCATGGGACCCCCCCATCCTGGGAGCCTCATAGGCCCCATTGGGGGGGGACCCCCACATCCCAGGCCCCCCCCATTCCAGAGACCCCCCCCCATCCCAGGGATCCCCCCCCATTCCAGGGACCTCCCCCCATTCCAGGGACCTCCCGCCATTCCCAGCACGGGGGGGGGGGCACAAACGCCCCCCGGGGGAGGGTCCCCGCACCGGAAGGAGCCCCATGGGGGCCGCCATGTTGGGAAGGGCACCCCACAACAGGGGGGGGACCCCACAACCGGGGGGGAGAAACCCCCAAAAGGGGGGGCAGGCCCCCAATGGGGGACCCCATGAAGGGGGGGGTCGGTCCCATAGGGAGCCCCCCCCCCCAAAACCCCCCGTGTCCCCCCCCCTCGTCCCGCCCCCCCCGGCGCTACCTGCGCTGCCGCCGCCGCCGCCTCCCTGCCCGGGGGCGTGGCCTCCTCGGGGCGGGGCCCGCGCGCCGCTCGCCATGGCAACCGGCCACACTTCCGGCGGAAGGGGCGGGGCAAGGCGCCGCGCCGCCATGCGGAGCGTGGCGGGAGCGCGACACACTCAATATGGCGGCGGGGGAGGCTCCCCGCGGGGCATGATGGGAGCGAGCGGGGCCGCAGGCGCCCCCTGCGGGCTGGGGGCGGGGCCTTGCCCGGGGGTCACGTGGGTCGCAGCCCCCCCCCCACCCCCGCCCTGGGGTCACGGGGGTTTCGGGGGTCACGGCCCTGCCCTGGGGTCACGGGGGTCACGGCCACATCGGGGCGGGTCACGGTCACCTCTGGGGTCACGGGGTCACAGCCCCCTGCCCTGGGGTCACGGGGGTCATGGTCACATCCGAGGGGGGGTCACCCCTTGGGTCACAGGGGTCACCATGGTCAGCCCCCCCCTCCCAGCTCGGTGTCCCCCGGGGGTCACTGGCTGCTGTTGTCCCCGTCCCCAGGGGTCCCCAGGGGTCCCCAGGGGACCCAAGGGGTCCCAGTACTGGCTGGGGGTCCCAGGGGGTCCCAGGCGACCCAGTGGGTCCCAGCTCTGGCTGTGGGTCCCAGAGATCCCAGTGGATCCCAGTGGGTCCTTGTTGAGGGTCCCAGCCCTGAGCATGGACCCCAGGGATCCCAGGGGGTCCCAGTGGGTCCTGGGGGGTCTCAGCCCTAGCTGTGGGTCCCTGTGGGTCCCAGTCCTGGTTGTGGGTCTGGGGGGGTCCCAGCCCCCAGTCATGGGTCCCAGGGGTCCCAGTGGGTCCCAGGGGTCCCAACTCCAACTGTGGGTCCCAGGGGTCCCAGTGGGTCCCAGCCCTGGTTGTGGGTCCCGGGGATCTCAGTGGGTCTCAGGGGATCCCAGTGGGTCCCAGCCCCAGTTGTGGGTCCCGGTGACCCCAGTAGGTCCTGGGGGTCCCAGCGCTGGCCATGGCAGCAAGACCAGGGACCGGGGGGGCAGGTGGAGATGTGTCCCCCTCCCCCCCCGCCCTGGCACCCCGATCCCATCCGCAGGGATTGGGATGGGGCTGGGCAGGGCGGGGGGAGCCGGTGGCCGGACACCCCAAGGAGATGGGCGCAACCCATCCCATCCCCATCCCTGTCCCCATCCCCATCCCCATCCCTGTCCCCACCCCCCCCCCCCCCCCCCCCCCCCCCCCCCCCCCGGGCCCCCCCCCCCCCCCCCCCCCCCCCCCCCCCCCCCCCCCCCCCCCCCCCCCCCCCCCCCCCCCCCCCCCCCCCGCTTCCCGCCCCGCAGCTCGGCCATGGCGCGGGCGGCGCCGCCGTCGGGGCGGCCCGAACCGGCACCAGAACCGGCACCGGCACCGGAACCGAGCCCGACCCCAGCACCGAGCCCGGCACCCACCCCGACCCCGGCACCGGAACCGCCACCGGCATCGGAACCGACCCCGGCATCGGAACCGATACCGGACCCGGTACCGGACCCGGTACCGGCGCCGCGGGGCCGCTCGCGGGGCCGCCCGCAGCGCTACCGGCGCCACCCGAAGCCCCCCTACTCCTACCTGGCGCTCATCGCGCTCGTCATCCGCGCCGCCCCCGGCCGCCGCCTCAAGCTCTCCCAGGTACCGGTACCGCGGGACCGGCCCGGGACCGAGAGGGACCCCCCGGGACCGAGAGGGGACCCCCCGAGACCGAGAGGAACCCCCCGGGACCGCCCCGGTACCACGATGGGACCCCCTGATCCCGCTGCGGGCTCTCCCGGTCCCGCTCCGGGCTCCCCTCGGACCCGCTTCGGGCTCTCCCGGTCCCGATAGGGACCCCTCGGTCCCGCTCCGGTCTCGCTGCGGGCTCTCCCGCTTCGGGTTCCCCCCGGTGCCGCTCCGGCCCCCCCAGGTCCCATTTTGGGCTTTCCCGGTCCCGCTGCGGGACCCCCCGGTCCCGACGGGACCTCCCCGGTACCGATAGGACCCCCCCGGTCCCGCTCCGAACCCCCCCGGTCCCGCTGCGTGCCCCGCGCGCGCTCCCGGCGCCGCCGCGTCCCGTCCGCCCCGTCGGGGCCGGGG